GAATGCTGCCTATGACCCCAAGAACACCATCCCCACCGTCAAACATGGAGGTGGAAACATTATGCTTTGGGGGTGTTTTTCTGCTAAGGGGACAGGACAACTTCACCGCATCAAAGGGACGATGGACGGGGCCATGTACTGTCAAATATTGGGTGAGAACCTCCTTACCTCAGCCAGGGCATTGAAAATGGGTCGTGGATGGGTATTCCAGCATGACAATGACCCAAAACACACGGCCAAGGCAACAAAGGAGTGGCTCAAGAAGAAGCACATTAAGGTCCTGGAGTGGCCTAGCCAGTGAGATGTGAGTTTCCAAGGGAAACTATGATAGTTACTGTATGTACTGTAAAACTGTAACAAAAACTATCGCAACCCAGCAACTGTGTGAAAAACATACTAGTGTAATCTCACCATGGTTGGGCTAACATACTGGAGAATGAAGCCAACAGTGTAATATTACTGTCTATAGTATACACTGCACAATACTTTACGACAGTATAGAATGGCACCTAAAGTATCAGCCTTAGTCTCATACACAATCTGAAGGAGAGGAGATGTGAATGGCTGTACCTTTTCCTTGTGGAAAAAATTAAGCCAACAGTGTAATGTACTGTTTATAGTAAACACTGCACAATACTGTATAATAGTAAAGATTACTACAGACCCAGTATCAGCCTTAGTCTCATACACTATTTGAAAGAGAGGGGACATGAATGGCTGTAGCTTTACCTTGTGGAAAAATAATTCAGCCAACAGTATAAACTGCCTGACCTTGAAGGGGCAGGGGGCATTCTACCTCACACATTTATGACTTATTTCTTGCTTTATGTGTGTGGGTCGGCTGTAACTCACGCCACGTTTATAGCTTATCTCTTGCTATATACGTGGGGGTGCTGGTTGGCAGGACTTAAGGGAAATTGTGTTTATAACCGTACTTAGTCCTGCAATGGTCACCTCTCGTTAAGTTAGCTACTTTCCATAGCTTGTTCACCTTTGAACACACAAGAATCTAGGCAAGATGGCTGCGCCCTGTGAGAGATGAAACGTGGTGCGCCTCGCTACACCTAGCTCACTCTCAGTGGACAACTTAAAGCCCGCTGGAGCGAAACATACAGTCTCCCGATCTTACGGGATAGGCGCGCTCCACGAACCTGAAAGCTATAACCGGGAGGGTTCCGGGTGGACAGACAACTAAGACAAACCCTCAGCGCCGCAAAACTCGTAGACCAAACCGAGAATCGCCCAGGTTGGTACACTGTCACAAGTAATAAAAACAAGGACGAAACCCAAACAAGATGGCACGAGCCAAACCAAGTGGGGGGGACAGCAGAGCACCCTGATGGAGAGGCTAGCTGATCCGAGTTATTGAATAGCTGCGGGTACACTTCTGCGCTTATACACTAACATAGCGCTCTTACCAAGCGAATCCTCCCTAGAATGAGCAGAGAAAAGGAAGATGTGGATGTAGTGCCGCGGCAGCTATGTAAAGGGTTCAGCCGCAGCACTACCCGGTACACGGGACTAATCTGAAATTCTTACTCGGAATGTATCCTGCCGCGCGGAAGGATACCCTATTGGAGTGATCCAATATAGTGCTACATAAACTCTGTGATACAGCTAATTCAACCTAGCTTCCGTTTCCGCTGAAAACTGGATATGGAAACGCCGCTCAGCCGTTTTCTTTTACGCCTGCTACGTTAGGTTAGCGTGGTTCAAACAACCCTAATGATTGGTTGGCAAATAGTGCCTTTCACAATGCTGATGATGGCTGCATGGTGCGGTTGGTGAGAAGAAACTGTGCGACTTCATCAAAAACTGACCTTTGATCACATGATTTATGTAAAGTTCATGCAGTTGACATGTCGCAAGTCTGACAATTTTTATAACCATAATGCATGCAACACACTTTGAAAGGCGGTGACAGACGATGGTCAACGTCTTCCGTTTTCTGGCGAAATAGTTTACGTTTTATGCCTCAATTCTTGCTTCTGTCATGAGCAAGTGCAGTGGGAATATACCAACCCCCAAAAAAACTGATGGACAAATAAATCATTAAAAACTAAATCATGAATACACTGTTCTGGACATTCATAATATTAGGATTCAAAAATACTATTTTCAGTGTCTGTCAAGCAACCGGGTGTTTACAAGAACAAGGCACTTTCCCCCTCCCCTTCGAATCACTCGCATTTTATTCTCCCACTCGTCCCTCTTTCTGTTCTAGGCTCCCAGCTGAACAATCGCACGAGGACCACCGGCCCCAATAACCACCGAAATACAGAACAGTAAGTAACTGTCAGCTCGCTTTTCGAGCCGGGGATTCTCGAGAAATGAACATGGGAGTCGCTAGTCAAATTGTTTGGTGGGAGGGAGAAATAATGTGAACGGTTAAGAAAAGAGGAATGTCGGGGAGCCATGATGGGCGCCCAAAATGAATGTCTACATTAACTGAGATACTGAGACAAAAGATGAAAATAATCAAATATTTTCAGCGAATTCATTGCTAGTGAATCAAGATGTGTGCTAAAGCTTTAATTTGTAACAACCTGCCTCGATATCTTGAGAGCGATTGAAGATCTCGGTACTGCAGTGGCAGTGCGAGCCGGTGACCTGAAATAGTTACATTGAAACGGCGATCAAACAAAGGAATAGCATCGCGGTTGATACAATGTTGCTGTTGGTCAGCTAATAACAAACTATAATGTATTAATGTGTTTCTTGTCACTGTTTCAAATACGACAACCTCTAATATTATGCCTCTGTCCCCATTTCTATGCTCTCAAGAATTGGAAAAGTGAGTATGATTGCGAAGTGTAGCCTAACATTAGTAAAATGTGGTTTAAGCTATTGCTTATTCATCGAATGACATACAAATCTAAACGTTTTCGTTGCAATGACGCAGTCTTAATAGCTTTCCCCCTCCCACATGGCCCCAATCCAAAGACGGGCATTTTAATGAGTACCTTAGATTTCCTCTCATTCACACGTTGCTCTTGCATGCTCCACGAGGAGGGTCCCAAGGTAGTGAAGGCACTTTAGACTAATTATGAAGCTGTCACCATTTAGGCTACTGTAAGTCTACTTACACGCCTATACTGTACCATATTCCCAAAAGTGTTGCTTTTCCGGTAGGTCTGTATGCCATATTAGGCTATAATGTTTGTTTGTTTGTTCATGGCTGGCGGCTGCTAAATGGATGAACATGCAGAACATTCTAATCTAATCACTACAGTTGTTTGGTCTCACGCTCACCAAGGAAGGTGAGTTACATAGGGTGTTTCATATAGGGCAACTATACTCACCTATCATGCATGAAATAATTTCATGAATGGCGAAATATCAGGATTTGAATAATTGTAACAAAAATATTTTTAAATCTAATTTAAAGCACATGGCTCAGCAATAGTACCCTACTGCCAAGTTTGACATTAGTAGGCCAAAAAAAACAATTGGGGGGGGGGGGGGGGGATCGGTATAAGGAAATGTATTTCCTGTTTCTACTGTATGAATCATGAATGAGGCATGAATCGTCCTCCTTCATGAAAACTACAGCTGCATCCCATATTGCTAATAACTGTGGCAGGTTATGTTGTGTAGACATACTGTATAGAAGCTATGATTCTCATTCTATGCTGTGTACACAGGATTCATCCCACATTGCACCCTATTCCCTTTATAGTACACTACTTTTGACCAGAGCTCTAGTAGAAAGGGAATAGGGTGCCACTTGGTCTGCTCCACAGTGCGAGTTGGTCTTACCTGCATTAGTTATGACTGAGCATGCCGGTGCTGTTACTGTTATCGTCACCATTCACCACTACACAACACGTCATTCATTCACCAAGGCCCCCCAGTAACCTTGCTGAGTGATCATATTAAATGTTTTGCCCATTAAGGTTATGCAGAAACCTTTTCAGTTTGCATGCAGAATGTGCATGTTGATATATGCTGACATTATTGGCATTTGCTTGTGATTTGTAATTTTTAGTTTCACCATTTTGAAGTAGTCAACTGGGTGGGACTTTCAATCGGTTAAAGAAGCATCACATAATTCCATCCAGGTCACCAGAAGGGATCAGCCAATTAATTACTCATGAGCGTCCAATTGGCTCATTAATCCCCCCTCCTCCACAGTAACTATTCCCCAGGTCGTTGCTGTAAATGAGAATGTGTTCTCACTCAACTTGCCTGGTAAAATATGGGTTAAATAAACAAATAAAATGAGCAAGCATTCCATAACTGCAGGTGGCAGTAAATCGCCAATCTTGGCTTTATACCTGTTCAAACAACACACTCCAGGTGGCAGTATGCACACTTTCAGATTATTTACCAACTCATAGAAGTATTAAAATAAGAAAATTGACTACTTAAAAATGGAGATGGCCTCAATGGCGCTGCCCATTTTCTCAGACTCCATAATGGGACAGATACAATGTTGTGTCCTCTACATCTGAGTAGAGCTGAATATAAGTAGTCTAGAGACATGATGGTTTAGGGGGTGTTTATCTACTATGGGTAGCCTCAGAAGTATGAGAATCCCAAGAACTCCAGAATGTAACATTGGCCATCAGGAGTTGTGTTCAGAAGGCATGAAATAGGAGTAAAACTTGTGAAACAGAGGCACTAGCCTATACCTACCTAGTTTACACGTTGAATATGTTTTCTCTTGTTTGTGCTCTTCAAACACAACCAGTGAAGTGGACATCATCCATCGTTCAGTTCATTATTCATAATCTCTTGGTCTGCTTGATCTGGTTATTTTTCAGTTATTTTCCTTTCCTGCATGCCTAAATGCATTCTGGGATTGGTCCATTGAATTGTCTCTTAGCTCTGTTAAACTGAGATTTGCTTTGTAAGTTAAACTTACAAAGATACTAAAATTAGAAGATATTTAAAAGACATATAGTCTATATGGATCAATCTGTCTCTCTAAACTCATCTCTGTGTAACTAACCCTCTAGCCTGTCCCTGTCACTCTCTTTCTCTGCTTCGGATCAAAGATGATGCCTCAGAGGAACCCCTTGTGTCCAGCAATGGATCAGTCCGATCCTGATCTCCCTTCCAGACGCTGCCAGGTGGACTGTACCACTGAGGTGGCAGTGGAGGGAGGTCAGAGGAACGGGGGTGGTGCCGCTTCGTCCTCCCCAGAGAGTAGCAGCGTGAACGGAGACGTCAACGGTAAACGCAGTGGGAAGAGGCGTCGCCGTCGTAAACGCTCCGCTCAACCCGACAACCGCCCGGCTCCTGTTGCCATGGTGACTCAGCCGCCACCACCACCTGGCCAAGAGCAAGGGGAGGAGCCCCAGCTTTGCCAGGGGGGCAGTAGCCACACCTCTACCAACCCTGCTCCTGACTCCCCCAGCGCGGTCCTGCTCGGCCTGCGGTCTGAGTGTGGTTCAGTGTGGTTTGACCGCAGTGTGTATGAGCAGGCTGAGAGTCTGTATCACTGCTGGTTGGCACACTCTGCCAACGGGGCGATGACACGGCCCAGCGGCTCACCCCCAACCCTGACTGCTGACAACCACCCCACCTCCCCTCAACCCTCACTATCACCCTCAGCCCCGAACCACCCCAGAACCCCTCCACCCATAGTCGCCGAAGAGCATCGCATTGTTGCAGAGCCCCTGCAGCCAGCAGCCCCAGACTTCCTAGCCCTCCCTGCCAACAGCCCCAGCACGCCAGATGAGGGGTACCTGTCCCTGACCCAGACCCCCCAGGCAGCCTCCACATCCCCACTGACCCCAGCCCTGGCCCCTGGCCAGCCGGTGAATGGGCTCCCCCGTCTCCCCATGGAGCTGCTGAGGGACGTGTGGCTGGAGAAACCTCTCTACGACCGGGCCGAGGCAGCCTTCTACCAGAGCCTCTACGGAAGCAACCGCTCTCCCACCGGCAACAACCTGGGTAGTGGAGCTTCCGCCTCACGTACCAACCCCAATGCTCCCTCAACCTCCAGAGGTAGTGGAGACCACCCACATAGTCTTGTTGAGGAGGAGGAGGAGGAGGAGACAGAAGTGGTAGAAGAAGCATCCGTGGTCTCGCAGGGGAAGCTCGAAATCTTCCATTCTCTGCGCACAATTCAGGAGGAGGAGGAGCCTGCTGACGTCGCAGAGGAGGAAGGCGTAGCCATGTCGGTGGGAGGAGTCTGTTACTTCCTGCATCCTGACAGTGAGAGGGTGTGGCTGGACCAGGGACGCTATGAGGCTGCAGAGAGCCGTTTCTACAGTTACCGCCAGATTGTACCTGCAGAGTCAACAGTAGCAGACCGAGAGGAGGGGGCTCGTGGGAAAGAAGGTGCTGGGGTGTCGGCCACATCGTTACCACAACCGTCATCGTCATCGGTCGCCTGCACCGGCCCTCTGAGGGACAAGTATGACCCATCCCAGGAGACTGGACCTCTACAAACACAGCCAGCTTCATTTACTCTTTCTCCTTTTCCCCTTATTTTTTATCCTTTTCAGTGATGTTCTATGTCTTGATTTGGTTCATTTGTTTGTTTCACATAATTTAGTTCACTTTGTGTTTTGTTTGCTCATTTGTCTCTTTGTGTTTTTATTCGGTTTTAGATGTTATCCTTTTCAGTTTTTCTTTTTTTCTTGCTTGATGTGTTTTACTCAATGTTAGTGGTTTTCAAAGATTTAGCTTACTTCTAAGGATGATGTTAGCAGACGTGAGGGGTGGGTGTGACTGGGAAAGAGAAAAGTGGTCTTGTCTGTAACTTGTGGGACACAGATGGTTAAAACAGAGGGACACAAGCTTTCTGATGGACTGAATGTTACCTTACTAACCATTGTTATCCTCTCCTCTCTCTGTCCGTGTAGCACCATGAGTTCAGCAGTAGACTACTTTGTCCAGGAGAAGATCTGGTTTGATAAGCCTCGCTATGATGAGGCGGAGAGACACTTCTACGAACACATTAACAGCACCTCTCACCCAGCACAGGTAGCACATTCCTTTAGTTTGTGTGTGTGTCAATGCTCTCCACCCTCTGTGTCTGTATCTTCCTCACACGTCACCACCTGATATCGACTACTGCATTTTTGGGAAAGAGCTAGCAAGAAAGGCATTTCACTGTACTTATGCACGTGACAATAAAACTTGAAATGTCTCTGGTGTGTGTATGCCTACATCCTGTCAGACCTGGTCTCCTGTACTGTACCCTGTAGGAGCTGGGAGCCAACACCATCCTGCAGGACATAGCCCGGGCAAGAGAGAACATCCAGAAGTCCCTAGCAGGAGTGAGTTATAATATAAACCCATCCAAGCCTTTTTACAACCCATCTATCTCACATGATCTGTTTTAAAGCTGCACTGAAAGTAAGATGGTTATATTTAATATAGATACTTTATTAAATGTAGTTTTACAGGGACAGTGCACATTAATTAACATTACTGTAAATGTGCCAGTTTTAGCCAGCCGGCTAGTTTTCTACTGCAGTCCCTGTTTGTCTGTTACATGGTCAAACACACGTAAGCCGGCTGAACCAGCCATATCTGACCACACGGTTAAGGCTACACGTCACAGGGAAACATGAGGTGTGTTTACTTTGACCCTGAGCTGCTGCTAAGAGCCTTGAAAACCCTGGGTCATATTCATTAGTGCACGCAATGGAAAACGCTTTACAACAAAAACGAGCGTTTTTTTTTGGGACAAGTTCAGGTAATTACGGTCGGTATGGTTTCTAGTGAATACAACCCAGGTCTATCACTTTCACTTGGAGAACAAACAGGTGTATGCGTGTGTGCTTTTCATGCTCTGGCTTAGTTAACAGGAAATCCTGATGTGTGATTTCGCGAGTTGTCACGGGTATCTGTGTGTATTTAATTTCAGGCCCAGCCATTCCTGCATGTTTTAGTAGTATGTTGTGGTTCGGATGTGTTGGTTTAAGCCTCAGGTGTGTGTGTGTGTGTAGGTTTCCACAGGTGTAACCTGCTGAGGCAAGATTTCTATTTGTGCAAAAGCATGATTTCTTGCATGACTGGCTAGCCCTTCATTTCTCCGATTCCTCTTTAGACCAACCCTGGGTATACTGTACCTCTGCCTGATCCACCTTGTAGCTTTCGCTCTCTTTCTGCCACAGTCCCTTCTGCACCTCCCAACCTCATTCAACTCGTTCCCTCTTTCCCTTCCTCCCTCCTTCCTTCTCTCCCCACACCCCAGCTGAAGAATTCGCTGTTACCTAGCAGAGGCTTTGATCAACCCCAGAACCCCCATCCCGTAAGTGTTCCACTGTGTGTCACAGTAGCTAGAGACCCCCCCCCCCCCCCCCCCAAGAGCAAGGTCACAGACTTGTGCACACACTCACACAAACAAACAAACCCTTGTTCCTCCTTCATTCTCCCTGAATGATGGGTCTGCTTCTCTGTCTCTGTCTATCTGTCTCCATGGTCTGCCCTGTCCTTATCCACCCTCCTCTGAGCTTACTCCCTCTCTATGTGCTGCTGATATTGACACTTGTGTTTGTTTGGTTTTCAAAGAGTTGTGATTGGTCAGCTTCAGGATTCTAATATTTGGACACCTCCATGTATAATGCTCCAGAGGGGTTACCTGGGTTTCTTGAAACTTTCGTCTGATCATCACCAAGACCACACTCTAAAGTACCCTTTCTTCCTCAGTGAGACAGCTTTGCATGAGCTGCAATTGTAGCTGTTGTTGGCCATTCTGTGCCTCTAGCTGCCTCTGTGCCTGTAGGTGATGGTGGTTATTTATGTGGTGATGTATGATGTAGAACTGTGTTCATCCTATTCATGTCTGCACTGTCTCCTCAATTTAACTGGTTGTGGTGGTACCTGAGTTTAGCCACTAGAGGTTACTGGTGATATGCTTAGTGATCTGCTGACACTTTCGTGTGTGTGTGTTCAGAGTGCAGCTAATGGGGTAGGAGATCAAGGCGAACTCATCACACGGATTAAGAGCCTGGAGCTAGAGAACCACAGTCTGCACCAAGGTGTGTGTGTGTGTATGTATACTGAACAAAAATGTAAACGCAACATGTAAAGTGGTGGTCCCATGTGTCATGAGCTGAAATAAAAGATCCCCAAATTGTCCATATGCACAGAAAACATATTTCTCTGAAATGTTGTGCACAAATTTGTTTACGTCCCTGTTAGTGAGCATTACTCCTTTGCCAAGATAATCCATCCACCTGACAGGTGTGGCATATCAAGAAGCTGATTAAACAGCATGAACATTACACAGGTGCACCTTGTGCTGGGGGCAATAAAAGGCCACTAAAATGCGCAGTTTTGTCTCACAACACAATGCCACAGATGTCTCAAGTTTTGAGGGAGCGCGCAATTGGCATGTTGACTGCAGGAATGTCCACCAGAGCTGTTGCCAGAGAATGGAATGTTAATTTCTCTACTATAAGCCGCCTCCAACGTCGTTTTAGAGAATTTGGCAGTACGTCCAACCAGCCTCACAACCGCAGACTACGTGTAACCACGCCAGCTCAGGACCTCCACATCCGGCTTCTTCACCTGCGGGATTGTCTGAGACCAGCTACCCGGACAGCTGATGAAACTGAGGAGTATTTCTGTCTGTAATAAAGCCTTTTTGTGGGGAAAACTTCATTCTGATTCGCTGGTCCTGGCTCCCCAGTGGGTGGGCCTATGCACATCCATAGATTAGGGCCAAATTAATTCGTTTAAATTTACTGATTTCCTTATGAACAGTAACTCAGTAAAATCGTTGTCACATGTTGCGTTTTATATTTTTGTTCAGTGTATGTAATCTTATAGAAGTGTGTCCACATGTATAGAGATGAAATTACCAATCTGTAATGTTACTGAAAGGTGTGTTTGTTTCCCTTTTTGTGTACAGAATGTCTAATCTGTATTGCAAATGTTATAACTAATCTGTAATCTTACTGACTTTCTTTCTTCTGTGTCTCTGTAAGTGGTGGAGGACCTGCGGTCAGCTCTGTCTAAATTGGAGTGTCGGGTAGCGGTTCTGGAGAAATCACCGTCGGCAGCTCCAGTCTCTGCAGCCCCCTGTACAAACGTAAGTCCCTCTCGCTCTGGTCCTGTGTGGCTTAGTTGGGAAGAGCTTGGTGCGCGCAATGCCAAGGTTGTGGGTTCAATTACCGCAAGGATCGCAAACACATACTAAAAATGCATGCACTCACTGTAGTCTGTCGCTTTGAATAAAAGCATCTGCTAAGTGGCCATTGTCTTTCGACAGATGGCGTCATTCTTACGGGACAAGTAGCCATGGACTATTATTAGTGCATACTGAGTCGTCGTGTCTTCTGACGTGACACAAAGCGGCATATATTTTTATGTTCATATGTCTACCCCTGTGTGTATATGTGTGTGTGTGTGTATATATATATATATGTATATATATATATATATATGTGTATATATATGTAATATGTATTTATTTATCTACCTCTCCCCTCCTCTTCAGGGAACCTCTGTCCAGCAGCAGAAGACCAGCCCCCCAGTGGAGGATATAGATGATGATGATGATGATATGGATCTGTTCGGCAGCGATGAAGAGGAGGATGCGGAGGCTGAGCGAATCAAAGAGCAGAGGCTGAAAGAGTACGCAGAGAAGAAGGCAAAGAAACCCACCCTCATCGCAAAGTCCTCCATCCTATTGGACGTCAAGCCTGTATGTCACATAGACCCCGCACTCTTCCTAACGCTCTCTCAAATCACTATACAGTATTTAAAAAATATTAATGGTATTTTTGTGTCTTCCTTTGTGTGTTCATGACATTAAAATCTTCTTCCCTGTTATGTTCTTCCCCTCTCCCACCTACCCTCTCTCCCTTCCTCCACCTCCCTCCCTCCCTCCACTCTCTTACAGTGGGATGATGAGACAGACATGGTTAAGCTGGAGGAATGTGTGAGGTCTGTTGTCGCTGACGGTCTACTTTGGGGTCAGTCGAAGCTGGTTCCCGTGGGTTATGGTATCCGGAAGCTACAGATCCAGTGTGTTGTCGAGGACGACAAGGTCGGGACAGACCTGCTAGAGGAGGAGATCACAAAGTTCGAGGACTATGTGAGTACAGGCGCGCGCACACACGTAATCCTTGGGGGGTCCACAATGAAGGATCACATTTAAACTGACACACACACACTTTGTACAGGTTAGCTTACCCAAATTAGAGATGGTTGTGTACTTTACCTTGATGAATGTTATCTCTAGTCTCTTGTTCTGCAGGTCCAGAGTGTTGACGTAGCAGCTTTCAACAAGATCTGATTCCACCTTCCTCTTCATTGGGCCCGTCCCACATGGCACTCCATTCCCTCTGTAGTGTTCTGCTTTAGACCAGAACCCTATGAGCTGGTCAAAGTTAGTGCACTATGTAGAGAGTAGCGTGTCATTTGGGACGTAGCAATTTCCCAGTCCGTCCCTTGCTGCTGTTTGTCACACGGTTAATAATAAAGAGCTTTTGGTGCACTTTAACTATTTTCTTGTCTGTCTCTCTTTGGTATTAACACATTTTTGGGGCCGTGTGGGGAACAATGGTAGGAAATAAAGGGTCAAATGTATCCCTAGGTGTGACCCAGCGTCGTCCAGGGTAGGGGAGGGAATGGCCGGCAGGGGATGTAGCTCAGTTGGTAGAGCATGGCGTTTGCAACGCCAGGGTTGTGGGTTCGATAAATAATGTATGTGCTAACTGTAAGTCGCTATGGATAAGAGCGTCTGCTAAATGACTAAAATGTAAATGTAATGTATGAGGTAGCAACATGATCCTACAAGATACAGTCCATTCGGAAAGTATTCAGACCCCTTGACTTTTTTCACATTTTGTTATGTTACAGCCTTATTCTAAAATTAATGAAATTGTTTTTTCCCCCCTCATCAATCTACACACAATACCCCATAAGGACAAAGCAAAAGCAGGTTTTTAGAAATTTCTGCAAACTTGAACTAGAAATGAAAAACAGAAATATCACATTTATATAAGTATTCAGATGCTTTACTCAGTACTTTGTTGAAGCGCCTTTGGCAGCGATTACAGCCTCGAGTCTTCTTGGGTATGACGCTACAAGCTTGGCACACCTGTATTTGGGGAGTTTCTCCCAGATCCTCTCAAGCTCTGTCAGGTTGGATGGGGAGCGTTGCTGCACAGCTATTTTCAGGTCTCTCCAGAGATGTTCGATCGGGTTCAAGTCCGGACTCTTGCTGGGCCATTCAAGGACATTCAGAGACATCCCGAAGCCACTCCTGCATTGTCTTGGCTGTGTGCTTAGGGTCGTTGTCCTGTAGGAAGGTGAACCTTTGCCCCAGTCTGAGGTCCTGAGCACTCTGGAGCAGGTTTTCATCAAGGATCTCTCTGTACTTTGCTCCGTTCATATTTGCCTTGATCCTGACTAGTCTCCCAGTCCCTGCCGCTGAAAAACATCCCCACAGCATGATGCTGCCACCACCATGCTTCACCGTAGGGATGGTGTCAGGTTTCCTCCAGATGTGACACTTGGCATTCAGGCCAAAGAGTTCAATCTTGGTTTCATCAGACAAGAGAATCTTGTTTCTCATGGTCTGAGAGTCTTTAGGTGCCTTTTGGCAAACTCCAAGCGAGCTGTCATGTGTCTTTTACCGAGGAGTGGCTTCCGTCTGGCCACTCTAGCATAAAGGCCTGATTGGTGGAGTGCTGCAGTGATGGTTGTCCTTCTGGAAGGTTCTCCCATCTCCACAGAGGAACTCTGGAGCTCTGTCAGAGTGACCATCGGGTTCTTGGTCACCTCCCTGACCAAGGCCCTTCTCCCCCGATTGCTCTGTTTGGCCAGGCGGCCAGCTCTAGGAAGAGTCTTGGTGGTTCCAAACTTCTTCCTTTTAAGAATGATTGAGGCCACTGCGTTCTTGGGGACCTTCAATGCTGCAGAAATGTTTTGATACCCTTCCCCAGATCTGTGCTTCGACACAATCCTGTCTTGGAGCTCTACGGACAATTCCTTCGACCTCATGGCTTGGTTTTTGCTCTGACATGCACTGTCAACTGTGGGAACTTATATAGACAAGTGTGTGCCTTTCCAAATCATGTCCAATCAATTGAGTTTACCACAGGTGGACTCCAATCAAGTTGTAGAAACATCTCTCAAGTTGCAGAAACATCTCAAGGATGATCAATGGAAACAGGATGCACCGGAGGTAAATTCAGAGTCTCATAGCAAAGGGTCTGAATACTTATCTAAGTAAGGTAAATTGTTTTCTATTTGTAATACATTTTCAAAAATTTCTAAAAACCTGTTTTCGCTTTTGTCATTATGGGGTATTGTGTGTAGATTGCTGAGGGACATTTTTTATTTAATCCATTTTAGAATGGGCTGTAATGTAACTGTGGAAAAAGTCAAGGGGTCTGAATACTTTCCGAAGGCACTGTATATCAGTCATTCTCAACCTTCTTTATAAAGCGAAGGCTCTGGAGCCCTTGATATCAAACCAACTGTTCTTACATTGTGTGCATTTCTGTATTCAAACAAGGCGAGGTGATCACTAATGGATGTATAATACTTTTTTTGGGTGACTGCATACAGTAGGAGAATAGTTATAGCTATATAAATGGGGAGAATGGCAAATGACTGGGATTTCCTTCGCAACGATCTGTCAACTCATCCATCTCTTGCTAACATAATGATCATTCATTGTTCGACAACATCTTAATACTTATCATAATCTGTGTAACCGTGGTGCTTTGCTGCATGCTCTTTTTTATCCTTTTGGCATATCCCCACAGAGGATTCCAAACCAAGCCAGAACACAGGGTAGAAATCCTCAGGGAATTCAGTCGTAACTGTATGGAGGGGTTTAACAGAAGAATGGTGCCTGTTCAAGAAGGATAGAGGGATATTTTCTCACGTTTGATGGCATTTGAGACATACTCATGGATTTTGTCAGATAATGCCCTAAAGCTGTGTTCACATTGGCAGTTTGAAGTGTCTCAAATCCTATTAATTTCAATTTCTGATTCAAATCTGTTCTTTTTCTTGCAGTCTGAACAGCCAAATCACACATGGAATCGGATATTTCATGCCACATTTCAAACCAACTTTGTAGGTGGTTTGAAGTCATACCAATCTGATTCCCAGCCATGTGACTTTTGTCTGAATGGTGAAATCTGATTTATTTGCCCTCAAGTAGCTTTTAGACTATTATTTGGCATATCTTGTTGCTTGCTAGCTACTCTGACAGTTTGACAAGAACATGGTAGCTAACTAGCATGTTAATTGTTTACAAACAAATTGGTGAATTTGCTAGAAAGCTAAACAGCTAGTTGACTGCTGTGGCTAGCCAAAATGGATTTGTTTTGGAAGTTGGATCATCTTATCCTTTGAGGCTTAAAGTGTTCTTACACTATGATTTTGAACATTCAAAGCAACTGGGAAACATCCATGGCAGGCATTGTTGTCACCTTAGCTTGCTACATAACTTCTGAGTGATCGGAAGCACGAGCACCACCAATCAGCCTACACCACTGTGCACACCCGTCGTTACTATGACAACTAGCATAGCCATGTCAGCAAATGACTGCTGTCTGAATACACATCCGATTTGGTCACTTGTAACTTGCTGTTTGGACAGTCAGTACTCCAAAACGGAATTTAAAAAACAAAACTGATTTGACCATTAAGGCCTGCAGTGTGAACAAGGCTTAATAGCCCTCAAACTAAACTCTGAAGCCAGTTCCACTGCATTTTTTTCATTGTTCCCTTCAAATCAGGGACTGATTTAGACCTGGGACACGAGGTGGTTGCAATTAGCTATCAGGTAGAACAGAAAATCAGCAGGCTCCCGACCTCGTAGGGTAAGAGTTAAATACGCATGCCCTATAGTGTTTGCTTCTGGGAATACTGTCCTGTGTACTGTAGTTGGAGGGAGGTGTGTGAATCATGAAGTAACTCCATAATGTTTGATACTTGATACCTTAATTGTAAAATATGTCTCATCACCCCACAACATTCTTAATATTAGGTTGTAAGCTTTTTAAATAATTGTTTGGATATTTTCACAGATAAGGTTGTATTAAAGGGGAAATCTGGTACATCCACTTTTGGACTTTTAAATTAATGATATATATATATATATATATATAGCCATTTATTCTTGAATATAACTCATACATTTTTCTCATGAGCTTAGTTCACTCTCTTATGGTATTGTAAACAAACACAGCTTCTAAACATGGTTTAAAAAAATCTGTCTTCTCATGGATGGTCAGTCCTTGCATCTATAGCTCTGCCTATGAATTTGAGTGGTTGCATTTCTTCAACCATTTCAGTGGCCTTGTGTTTTAGAGTGGCTCGATCCCCGGCCGAGTCATACCAAAGACTGTAAAAATTGTACCCAGTGCATATCTGCTTAGCACTCAGCATTAGCACCCCCCCCAAAGAGTGAAGGGGTGAACCACTTTGTTATTTGAATCCCAGATTGCACCGTTGTCAAAATAACAGTGTATAAGGGAACCAAAATTGCACACAATGATACTTTTCAAACAGACAATGGTAGACATTTTCCTTTATTTGGTTTTGTAGTGGATTCAATCAAGGGCTGATGGAACTAGCTACTAGCTAGCTTGCTAAATCTGTCACATTTACAGAAATGTTGAATGATGTGAATTTGTCCCTGTCAAATAAATGTAATGAAATCCACTCTACGCTTTATAACCATTCTTCTACTGAGGAGAGGAGAATCTGCCGAGAAACAGGATGCTTTTGGTCTTGTTGTGCCTGATGAAGAAGAGGAAGGGATGGTCAGCTGTGAAGTGTTCCTCTCGGATCATACAGAACGCTATTAACCCAGCAGTGGCGGCGGCAGCCTCTGTCCCCTCCTCGTTCACCTCCACAAAGGCCTTATGGGCCACCGTAGACAGGAAGAGCCCCCCCTCCCCGTTCATCCCAGACAGGTCGGCCCTGCCCCCCTCAAACACGTCCTTCATGCCCAGCTGGATCAGGGCCTCATTCAGCTCGTAGTTCTCCTCCAGTTTGAACTTGGGCAGGTGAACTATGACCTCTGTGCCCGTGTCCATGTTGTCTCTGCTGGTCCACTCATCCAGTTTCTCCATGGTCAGCTCTCTCTCTAGCTAAAATGGTGCACAAAGTTAAAACCCAGTCGGTATACAGAGAAGAAGTTGAAACACAGACAGTTAAAACCCAGTCAGTATATAGAGAAGAAGTTGAAACACAGACAGTTAAAACCCTGTCAGTGTAGAGAGGAGTAGCAGCATTGACACTCTATTATTATACAGAAGATAGATGATACTGGTAGTAGTGTGATTCTCAGCAGCCTACCCGGACCTGAGCCAAGTACACCACCTAGTGGCAAATGATGTGCAGAAAATGCTAAAATGGGTACCATGACTTGCATTGGATTTGTGCCACAAATGCTCAAATGTTAGCATTTGGAAACCGTGCCAGGGAAACAAAACCAAAGCATGGATTGCTGTCATACCTTGTCCATAGTCTGTTTACAGGGTAAGGAAACCAATGTAATTTGGGTGAAGTATCCCTTTAACTATAGGAGGTTTTGTAGTGTAGCGAACAGAGGGACAGGGAAGCGTACCCGAGTTGCTGGCATGAAAAGCAAAACCCCCTACGCATCGAGCCAATAGGGTTAACCCACTTTGGGGGGAATTTTAATATGGCTCATCAGTGAGGATTGCTTCAGTAGTGTGAAAAGGTTACAGGAGGTTGTGTATACCTTCACTAGGGGATCAGATCCATCAGTGGCCTCCTCAGGTAGCAGGACAAACATACTGAGCTCCTCATCCACATAGGGAAGCTCCACGATCTGGAGGTTATAGTCTGGGACGTAGTTAAAGGGGAACTTCTTCATCTGGTGCATCATCTGAACTGGCTTGCTTTCATTCTGAAAATTCCCAGATCATCATAGACAAGGAGAATGAGTTCATCTGACCACCATATCATTCACAATAGGCCTATACAGTGTAACTTTGTTTTGTCTCTTGGATGATGCACAAATGTGTCAAACCTTTGCTTGTACCACTGCTAAAAAGAAGGCCCATATGAAGTGAGCTTTTGAATCCTTTTTGGTTTTACATAACTTTCCAGATCTTCTAGCAGTGTAGTATATAATTCTATTATACAGACAATACTCCATTATTTAATTACTGAGCATAGATATCTATCTATATATTATTGCCAATATCCACCTGGTTTATTTTGAAGGGCATCTCTTTGGTGTCTTTTTGGTCAAATCGATTCAGCCAGTTTCCTTTGAAGTAGATGGCGTTGACTAGGGCCAACCTTGTCATAACACTGACTGTCCCCGGCTTCAGCAGATCTTTGATTTTATCTGTAAACACAAACATACAAACACGCATGCACACACACACACACACACACACACACACACACACACACACAATTAAACAAACTAAACCAAAAGCAACTCTAAAACAAGAAGTCCCATATGGTTCTAATGATGTAATTTAAGCATAGACACATTTATTAATCTCATGTTGAGTTCCATGTTAGCTGATCCTAGTTACAGATCTGTTGGTTCAATCAATCAAATGTATTTATAAAGCCCTTTTTACATCAGCAGATGTCACAAAGTGCTTATACAGAAACCCAGCCTAAAACCCCAAACAGCAAGCAATGCAGATGTAGAAGCACGGGCAGCTAGGAAAAACTCCCTAGAAAGGCATGAACATAGGAAGAAACCTAGAGAGGAACCAGGCTCGGACGGGGTGGCCAGTCCTCTTCTGGCTGTGCCGGTAGAGATTAGAAGAGTACATGGCCATTAAGGCTAGATTGTTCTTCAAGATGTTCAAACGTTCATTAATGACCAGCAGGGTCAAATAATAATGGTTGCTGTTCTTTAATCTAATCTAATTTGTGTGTTTAGTGTATGCTGTTGTATTTATGTTGTGTTTTCCCCCCCCCTGTATTGCACTACAAATTTCCCAACTGGGACAATATATGTGATTGATTAACTGAATGATTGATTGATATGTTAAATGATCTTACTCTCTGTCTGCTGTTCCACCCAGCCGTTGATCTCTCCTCTGGTCACCTCTGCTGCGCCGAGGAAGTCCACTGCCTTCATGTCTGCATGGTAGAACTTGTGGGTGGATTCTAAAAACTCCTACAGCAGAGTGAAACAGTTCAATTAGCATATAGAGAAGTTCAGTAGAACTCCTACAGCAGAGTGAACAGTTCAATAAGCATATAGAGGACAGTAGAACTCATACAGCAGAGAGAACAGTTCAATAACAGTTAAATCTTCCAATGGCATTGAGGAGTACACCACATCAGTCACTGGCTTCATCAATAAGTGCATTGATGACGTCGTCCCCACAGTGACTGTACGTACATACCCCAACCAGAAGCCATGGATTACAGGCAACATCCGCACTGAGCTAAAGGGTAGAGCTGCCGCTTTCAAGGAGCGGGACTCTAACCCGGAAGCTTATAAGAAATCCCGCTATGCCCTCCGACGAACCATCAAACAGGCAAAGCGTCAATACAGGACTAAGATCTTATCGTACTACACCGGCTCTGACGCTGGTCGGATGTGGCAGGGCTTGCAAACTATTACAGACTACAAAGGGAAGCCCAGCCGCGAGCTGCCCAGTGACACGAGCCTACCAGACGAGCTAAATTACTTCTATGCTCGCTTCGAGGCAAGCAACACTGAAACATGCATGAAAGCATCAGCTGTTCCGGAAGACTGTGTGATTACACTCTCCGTAGCCGATGTGAGTAAGACCTTTAAACAGGTCAACATTCACAAGGCCGCAGGGCCAGACGGATTACCAGGACGTGTACTCCGAGCATGCGCTGACCAACTGGCAAGACTGACATTTTCAACCTCTCCCTGTCTGAGTATGTAATACCAACATGTTTCAAGCAGACCACCATAGTCCCTTTGCCCAAGAACACTAAGGTAACCTGCCTTGTGGTCCTCTGTAGTTCAATTGGTACAAGCGCCATGCTCTAACGCCAGGGTAGTGGGTTCGATCCCCGGGACCACCCATACGTAAAAATGTATGCACACATGACTGTAAGTCGCTTTGGATAAAAGCGTCTGCTAAATGGCATATTATTATATTATTATTAAATGACTACCGACTAGTAGCACTAACATCTGTAGCCATGAAGTGCTTTGAAAGGCATGGCCATGGCTCACATCAACACCATTATCCCAGAAACTCTAGACCCACTCCAATTTGCATACTGCCCCAACAGATCCACAGATTATGCAATCTCTATTGCGCTCCACACTGCCCTTTCACACCTGGACAACACCTATGTGAGAATTCTAATCATTGACTACAGCTCAGCGTTCAAAACCATAGTGCCCTTAAAGCTCATCACTAAGCTAAGGACCCTGGGACTAAACACTTCCCTCTGCAACTGGATCCTGGACTTCCTGACGGGCCGCCCCCAGGTGGTAAGGGTAGGTAATAACACATCCGCCACACTGATCCTCAACACAGGGACCCCTCAGGGGTGCGTGCTCAGTCCCCTCCTGTACTCCCTGTTCACTCATGACTGCATGGCCAGGCACGACTCCAACACCATCATTAAGTTTGCCGATGACACAACAGTGGTAGGCCTGATCACCGACAACGACGAGACAGCCTATAGGGAGGAGGTCAGAGACCTGGCCATGTGGTGCCAGGACAACAACCTCTCCCTCAACGTGATCAAGACAAAGGAGATGATTGTGGACTACAGCAAAAGAAGAGGACCGAGCACGCCCCCATTCTCATCAATGGGGCTGTAGTGGAGCAGATTGAGAGCTTCAAGTTCCTTGGTGTCCACATCACCAACAAACTAACATGGTCCAAGCACACAAAGACAGTCGTGAAGAGGGCACGACAAAACCTTTTCAGGAGACTGAAAAGATTTGGCATGGGTCCTCAGATCCTCAAAAGGTTCTACAGCTGCACCATCAAGAGCATCCTGACTACTGCATGGTATGGCAACTGCTCTGCCTCCGACCGCAAGGCACTACAGAGGGTAGTGTGTACGGCCCAGTACATCACTGGGGCCAAGCTTCCTGCCATCCAGGACCTCTATACCAGGCAGTGTCAGAGGAAGGCCCTAAAAATGGTCAAAGATTACAGCCACCCTAGTCATAGACTGTTCTCTCTGCTACCGCACGGCAAGCGGTACCGGAGCGCCAAGTCTAGGTCCAAGACGCTTCTAAACAGCTTCTACCCCCAAACCATAAGACTCCTGAACATCTAATCAAATGGCTACCCAGACTATGACCCCCCCCCCCCCCCCCCCCCCCCCCCTTTACGCTGCTGCTACTCTCTGTTTATTATCTATGCATAGTCACTTTAATAACTCTACCTACATGTACATATTACCTCAATTACCTCGACTAACCGGTGCCCCCGCACATTGACTCGGTACCGGTACCCCCTGTATATAGCCTCGCTATTGTTATTTTTACTGCTGCTCTTTAATTATTTGTTACTTCTATTTCGTATTATTTTATATTGTATTTCTTTGTGAGTTTTGGGGGTATTCTTTCTTAAAACTGCATTGTTGGTTAAGGGCTTGTAAGTAAGCATTTCACTGTAAGGTCTACACCTGTTGTATTCGGTGCATGTGACAAATCAAATTGTATTTTATTTGAATAAGCATATAGGGAAGTACAGTAGAACTTCTGGGTGGAGTCTAAGAACTCCTACAGCAGACAGTAATAATAACACAGTCAGTCTGTTGTGTCTTTAAATAAAGCCCAGCATATCCGTAAATGTGATAAGATTGTATAGATTAGTAGACTGTAAAGTGGTAAAGTGGCTGTTACTTGCATGAAAAGTATAGTTTATAGGGAAACTCACAGTCAGGAAGTTGCAAGTCTTCTCTCCATAGAGACGGTTGGCCAGTTTCAGGGTGTAAGATGCAGAGGGAGAGTTGATATCTCCATTGAGTGTCTGGAAATCTGTGTGGACGTCTTTAGTCAAGTTGAATGACAGAACCTGGGGAGAATTCAGAGAGGAAAGATTGTGGTTAGGGTTGCAAAACAACTGGTAATTTACCAAAGTTACCAGAATTTTTTGTCATTTACAGGTAATCTATTGCAATTGAAGGTAACTTTGGTAAATACGGTTTACTTGAATAACTTTTATATTTATATGTATTTGTTCAAACTATTCATTTTTATATCTGTGTCCATATTGTCCATGAGTTTCTAATGGATAGACCATATGGTTCAACAGAAAATAGCCAAATTAATGAAAAAACAAAACATCTAATTAACAATGGCATAATTTACAATTAACTCTGCAACTCATCCAACTTTTTTCACAACTGCCACCAGTTAAGTGGCAAAACATTTACAACAAAGACATATTTACACAGTAAAATAAATAAAAGAGTATAAAAATATAAACAATATTTCATGCTGAAACCCTCATTAAATACGAATGAACGCTATTCACCAAGTTGTGGGTTAAATTAGAATAAGGTTATACAGCTTTGTCATTCTTAAAAAAATGAAGAATATTTTTTTTTTATTCTTTCAAGTTTCCTAAATTCTGTTAGTTTACTGGTAAACCTAGAAAATTATCGGTAATATACCCTCCCTTTGCAACCCTAAACTAAATCAAGCTTCGACTATGTGTACAGTTGAAGTCGGAAGTTTACATACACTTAGGTACTTAACTAGTTTTTCAGCCACTCCACAAATGTCTTGTTTACAAACTATAGTTTTGGCAAGTTGGTTAGGACATCTACTTTGTGCATGACACAAGTAATTTTTCCAACAATTGTTTACAGACAGATTATTTCACTTACAATTCACTGTATCACAATTCCAGTGGGTCAGAAGTTTACATACACTAAGTTGACTGTGCCTTTAAACAGCTTGGAGAATTCCAGAAAATGATGGCATGGCTTTAGAAGCTTCTGATAGGCTAATTGACATCATTTGAGTCAATTGGAGGTGTACCTGTGGATGTATTTCAAGGCCTACCTTCAAACTCAGTGCCTCTTTGCTTGACATGGGAAAAGAAATCAGCCAAGACCTCAGAAAAAAAATTGTAGATCTCCACAAGTCTGGTTCATCCTTGGGAGCAATTTCCAAACGCCTGAAGGTACCACATTCATCTGTACAAACAATAGTAAGCAAGTATAAACACCATGGGCCCACGCAGCCGTCATACCGCTCAGGAAGGAGACGCGTTCTGTCTCCTAGAGATGAACGTACTTTGGTGCGAAAAGTGCAAATCAATCCCAGAACAACAGCAAAGGACCTTCTGAAGATGCTGGAGGAAACAGGTACAAAAGTATCTATATCCACAGTAAAACAAGTCCTATATCGACATAACCTGAAAGGCCGCTCAGCAAGGAAGAAGCCACTGCTCCAAAACCGCCATAAAAAAGCCAGTTTGCAACTGCACATTGGGACAAAAAGCGTACTTTCTGGAGAAATGTCCTCTGGTCTGATGAAACAAAAATGGAACTGTTTGGCCATAATGACCATTGTTATGTTTAGAGGAAAAAGGGCGTCGCTTGCAAGCCGAGGAACACCATCCCAACCGTGAAGCACGGGGGTGGCAGCATCATGCTGTGGTGGTGCTTTGCTGCAGGAGGGACTGGTGCGCTTCACAAAATAGATGGCATCATGTTATGTGGATATATTGAAGCAACATCTCAAGACATCAGTCAGGAAGTTAAAGCTTGGTTGCAAATGGGTCTTCCAAATGGACAATGACCCCAAGCATAGTTCCAAAGTTGTGGCAAAATGGCTTAAGGACAACAAAGTCAAGGTATTGGAGTGGCCATCACAAAGCCCTGACCTCAATCCTATAGAAAATTTGTGGGCAGAACTGAAAAAGTGTGTGCGAGCAAGGAGGCCTACAAACCTGACTCAGTTAAACCATCTCTGTCAGGAGGAATGGGCCAAAATTCACCCAACTTACTGTGGGAAGCTTGTAGAAGGCTACCTGACACGTTTGACCCAAGTTAAACAATTTAAAGGCAATGCTACCAAATACTAATTGAGTGTATGTAAACTTCTGCCCCACTGGCAATGTGATGAAAGAAATAAAAGCTGAAATAAATCATTCTCTCTACTATTATTCTGAAATGTCACATTCTTAAAATAAAGTGGTGATCCTAACTGACCTAAAACAGGGAATTTCTACTAGAATTAAATGTCAGGAATTGTGAAAAACTGAGTTTAAATGTATTTGGCTAAGGTGTATGTAAACTTCCGACTGCGTGTGTGTATCTATGTCTGTGTATTGGAGTATGTGTGTGTTACCTTTGCCATCTGAGCAGCTGTGTCTCCTTTAGCTCCCAGGTAGACCATGGCCAGAGCTGAGCTGATACTGAAGGGGGAGACGAAGACATTCCCTGTGTTGGTCTGACCCAGAGTGCGGTACAGCTCCAAGGCAAAGGCTGTGATAGAGTTGCTGAGAGAAGCCATGGCTGATGACTGATCTGTCTGAAGAAAGGAGATTACAGTATTGTTTGACATATGCAGACTAATCAGATCATCATATCTACACTGATTTTAATGTGAAAATATGAAGTTTTGCAGCATCTTAAGTGACCAAAATCTTCTCCACACATCTCCCCATCACTAGCCTATTTCATTTTGGAAATAAAGTTATCATTGGTCCTGCATGACTCCTAATCATATTCACTCAAGTTTAGGGCTACACTGTATAGGCTACTCAATGACAGTGACAATAGAGAAATAGCTTCTAAGGCAGAATGTTATTGTTCATTTTAACTCGGTGCGCTCGCAGCCTCACTTACCAATTGCTATATGAAAGACATTTAATCGGCAAGCAAAATATCCACAAATAGCCTAAACTATCCGGCAGCAACCCGGAAGCAGAGGGTTTTCGAAGCAGGTTAGGAGAGCATTTTAGCTAACCCTGACCCTAACCCTTTTCCTAACCTTAACCGAATTCTTCAAACCTGCTACGTTAATTATCCTTACCTGCTGCGTAAATTCTCCTAACCTGTTACGAAAAAGTAACTTCCGGTCGTAGCTGTAGGCTATACCACCTAGTCAAAATGGTAAAAATATACAGCTGAAAGCAAAACGCAAGTAGGCTACACGTGTAGGCCTACAAATCACGCTACTGTAATGTTGCTTGGGATTAGGAAGACTAATATTCGTCACTTACCCGTTCTGCTTCCCTCTGTGTGAAAATATACGATGTGCACAGTTCCAGTGAAAGAGAAACTAAACAGACGTAATGCCTTCCTCAGCAGAGAACTGCAAATAAGCCCTGGAAATATGCCGCATATATCATTTGGTGCGTCCTTTAATATAGGCTATGCACTGCTCTACCGGAGCCATAAAACTGGGTGCGGACTGAATATACAGACCTGTCCACTTTGCCAAAGTCAGTTCGCCTATTGATATTGTCAGTTAGACTGAGTTAATTTTCACTAGGCTACTACCTGCTGGACTTTGGTCCCTCTGCCACACCTGCCCTGCTGAGATATAGGATGTCCAAGCAGGTGTTTTATCCTGGGCTGGCCCAGGGAACCCACATTTCAGGTTGACTTTAATGATTAACACATACACAACTTCATAGCAGAGTCAGAGCAGACAGACGCCATTACCAGTCACACCTTGAAAGAACCCATAATCTTTTGAATGTCTGGGGGGGTGTTAATTCCCTAATAATTGCACCACTTTTACGTACGAGGAAACTATGAATAGTTAGTTAAATACCCATAGTTAGTTAGTTAGCCCATAGATAGTTAACCAAATAGCTATCCGGACTATTTAACTATCTGCATTGACCCTTTTTGCACTACATTTTTTGACTCATCACATATGCTGCTGCTACTGTTTATTATCTGTCACTTTCTTTCTGGTTATACAGTGCATTCGGAAAGTATTCAGACCCCTTGGCTTTTTCCACATTTTGTTATGTTACAGCCTTATTCTAAAATTGATTAATTTTTTAAAATATATTCTCATCAATCTACACACAATACCCCATAATGACAAAGTGAAAACAGGTATTTTAGAAATGTTTGGAAATGTATTAAAAATAAAAAACAGTATTCAGACCCTTTGCTATGAGACTCGAAATTGATCTCAGGTGCATCCTGTTTCCATTGATCATCCTTGAAATGTTTCTACAACCTGATTGGAGTCCACCTTGGGTAAAAACAATTGATTGGACATGATTTGGAAAGGTACACACCTGTCTATATAAGGTCCCACAGCTGACAGTGCACGTCAGAGCAAAAACCAAGCCATGAGGTCGAAGGAATTGTCCGTAGAGCTCAGAGACCGGATTGTATGCTTGTATAATTTTTTGTACTTTTACCCCTTTTTCATGATATCCAATTGGTAGTTACAGTCTTGTCCCATCGCTGCAACTCCCCGATGGACTCGGGAGAGGCGAAGAACGAGAGCCACACATCCTCAGAAACACGACCCTGCCAAGCCGCACTGCTTCTTGACACACTGCTTGCTTAACCTTGAAGCCAGCCGCACCAACGTGTCGGAGGAAACACTGTCCAGCAGGTGACCGAAGTCAGCCTGCAGGCACCCGGCCCGCCACAAGGAGTCGCAAGAGCGCGATGGGACAAGGAAATCCCTTCCGGCCAAACCCTCCCCTCACCCAGACAATTGTGCGCTGCCTCATGGGTCTCCCGGTGACGGCCGGCTGTGACACAGCCTGGGATCGAACCCGGGTCTGTAGTGACGCCTCAAGCAATGCGATGCAGTGCCTTAGACCGCTACACCACTCGGGAGACCAGGTCTCCATCATTCTTAAATGGAAGAAGTTTGGAACCACCAAGACTCTTCCTAGAGCTGGCCACCTGACCTAACTGAGAAATCGGGGGAGAAGGGCCTTGGTCAAGGAGGTGACCAAGTACCCGATGTTCACTCTGACAGAGCTCCAGAGTTCCTCTGTGGAGATGGGAGAACCTTCCAGAAGGACAACCATCTCTGTGGCACTCCACCAATCAGGCCTTTATGGTAGAGTGGCCAGATGGAAGCCACTCCTCAGTAAAAGGCACATGACAGCCCGCTTGGAGTTTGCCAAAAGGCACCTAAAGGCCTCTCAGATACTGAGAAACAAGATTGTACTCTTTGGCCTGAATGCCAAGCGTCACGTCTGGAAGAAACCTGGCACCATCCCTACGGTGAAGCAGGGTGGTGGCAGCATCATGCTGTGGGTATGTATTTCAGCGGCAGGGACTGGGAGACTAGTCAGGATCGAGGGAAAGATGAATGGAGCAAAGTACAGAGAGATCCTTGACGATAACCTGCTCCAGAGCGCTCAGGACCTCAGACTGGGGCGAAGGTTCACCTTCTAATAGGACAACGATCCTAAGCACACATCCAAGACAATGCAGGAGTGGCTTCGGGACAATTCTCTGAATGTCCTTGAGTGGCCTAGCCAGAGCCCGGACTTGAACCCGATCTAACATCTTTGGAGAGACCTGAAAACAGCTGTGCAGCAACGCTCCCCATCCAACCTGACAGAGCTTGAGAGGATCTGCAGAGAATGGGAGAAACTCCCCAAATACAGGTGTGCCAAGCTTGCAGCATCATACCCAAGAAGACTCGAGGCTGTAATCGTTGCCAAAGGTGCTTCAACAAAGTACTGAGTAAAGGGTCTGAATACTTATATGTGATATTTCATTTATTAATTTTTAATACATTTGCAAAACAATCTAAAAACCTGTTTTTGCTTTGTCATTATAGGGTATTGTGTGTAGATTGATGAGGAAAAACATCTAATTTAATCCATTTTAGAATAAGGCTGTAACATAACAAAATGTGGAAAAAGTAAAGGGGTCTGAATACACTCCCGAATGCACTGTATCTACCTCAACTACCTCGTACCCCAGCACATTGACTCGGTACTGGTACCCCGTGTATATAGCCAAGTTATCGTTACTCATTGTGCATTTATTATTACTTTTATTATTACGTGTTCGACTTTTCTATTATTTCTCTATTTTCCTTCTCTCTGCATTGTTGGGAAGGGCCCGTAAGTAAGCGTTTCACTTTTAGTCTACTTTCAGTTCCGTTCCATTCCGATAGAAATAACACCATTCTCCACGCATTGTAATTTATAAATTGATAAAAGCTATAAATAGAGCTAGGTAAATGACTACTCTGTTAGTGAAGGGGATAGTAAATACAAACAGCAATTGTTTTATATGATTTTTCCTCATGATCGCTGGAGACGAATGTGAAACCAGTCATATGGAAGCAAACTGAAAATCATATCAACATGAAATATATTGCGACCCCTTTTCCATAGTGAATTAGGTTATAAATAGCTGTGCCTTTATTCAGAATGATAATTTTATGTCCTCATAATTTGCGGGGATGAAATTTGGAGACCCAACCTATAGGCTTCTTTAACGCCAAACCTACTGAGTTGATGTATGCGCTCTAGAATGCCCGGCCTTTTTATTTATTTATTTAGACAATTTGTATAATGTTAAAGATTAGCCACTATCGGGAGCCACCGTCAGTAATACCCACATACATAACTGTCACTTTAGTGTTCGTTTCCTTCAATTTGTAGCATACATTTTGCATCATTCCATTCCATTCCATGTATCTTTCTTTCCCCGGTTACACCTGTGTAGTTGCTCCTGAGGGTCACTAGCAACAGTGGATCTTATTAGGCTAATGTTGTGCAATAATTTGGGACATGTAGCCTATTTGAATCATTACGGAACTCAGGCCACACGTAGCCGTTTAAACCTGCAGCACGGTTCATGACGACTGGACCATTGTCACAACAGTACCATGTTTAGTGAGGAATAGGGTAGATTTATAGGACTATTGTTCAACCCCTATTGTACACTTGTATCACCTCCCAATATTTCATGGACTGAACTTGACTATGGCAACTTTCAGGATGAATCAAACCACTGTATTTTCCCTCCTCGATGTTGGCTGAGAGAACTTTTGCCCCTTTCATATTTGGATGCAAGCCATCCCTCTTGTAAAACTGGGGCCACTTCCAAAAGTTGTGAAAATTGTCAATTTACTCCAAATCCATCGAAGAACAGTAGGATTTACACCACTGGCTTAAATCCTACTGTTCTTCTATGGATTTGGAGTACATTGACAATTCTCTCTGCCAACTTCGAGGAGGCTCATATAAAATATTGACCCCAAAAAAGCCCAGCCCCTAATTAGGTAACTCTTCCCATTCCCACTTTTTCACAGCATTATCATCATACTGCTACAGATAACCATATTGTGACCATAGAGTTTAATTCCACTGTTAGCTCTATTACTGCTAGCCCAATTGGGAAGCCCACTGTGGTAAGCTCGTGCTATTATTTAAATACCATAAATATGGATACCATCGCTGTTTTCAAATCACATAGAGGGCTTGGGCAGTTACATATCAAAGTACGAAGTCTGATGTCAAAGATGGACCTTCTTGATATCTGAGTATTTAAAACCTTTCTTTCATCTGAATTAGTCATTTTGGGGATTTTTACTTAGATTGGCTAACCCCGGCCTCAGACCATTTAAATAATATTTGTCTTGATCTTAACTTGACTCAAATGATTTCAAAACCCACACGGATTAATGTAAAAAATCCATCAAACTCCTCACTGATTGACCTTACTCTGATAAATAGCCCCACAAGTACTTGTCCAGTGGTGTCTTTGCTAATGATCTCAGTGATTCCTGTCCTATGGCATGTATTAGAGATACCAAAAAGATTAACACTGATCCTTGTATAATTCTGAAGAGAAATTGTGAAGATAATACCACAAGAAAACATTAGTAATGTTCAAAGGACAATCTAAGAATGTTATTTAAAAACATATACCTTCCGTTTTCAGAGTCAACAAAACTCTCTCTATCCTCTATCTTGTTAAGTGTTTTCAGGTGGGTTGGCCGGGCCCACTAATTGACCACACCTGATCTGAAGGAGTGCTTGTTTAATTTGAAATGGGGTCTGGATGAATAGGCTAAAATGAACAGCTTTGTATGAGTAAAAAAAAAAACATGGCGTGTTAGCTGTGGTGCTGTGGACTATTTCCATGGATAGAAAACAGACGGTCATAGGTTCAAATCTCACTGACGCCGTGCCACAATAGAAAGAAATGTGTTTGCATGATTAATGCCTAAGCAAATTAATGTCCATGTGTGCTATCTGTGCTTGGAGTAAACACCTAACCCAAACTAAGGGAGCAGTGTTATTGAAAGTCTTGAAACATTCAGTGAGAGTTTTAAGGAAGTTATTCAAAAACCTCCAACAAACCTATAATTTTGGTTCTCAGAACGTTAATAAAACCTCCCAGGAAAACTTTCAGAGAACCATAGTAAAATGTTCTCAGAAACTCCCTGCAACCTAAAAATGTACGTTCCCAGAACAGGTGAAATTTTAACTTCCGTTACCAGAACGTTTAACCGGTCAGGAAACTAATGGCTTCGTTCCAAGAACCAATGGGAAACCAAAAACGTACGTTCCCACAACTTCCAAGGAACCAAATGTGCTAGCTGGGCATTTTATCTCCCAGGCTTTTTATTTGAAAGAAATGGTGGTTTAATTGACCCTGGTCAGCCAATCGACTGCCTGCCCCTCTCCAAGCCTCTAGTTGGCTCAATGGAAGTTCTATCAATTTCTACTTAATCTTTGTTTTAATTTCAACTACTCTCTAATTGTTTTGTGCTAGATGCCTTGCGCAAGGTTGATGTAAAAACATCCACTTGGGCTGATTTGATTGATCCTTTCTTGTTGCAGCTTTCTGTTCTTCTGATTGCTGAATCTTTAACACATACCCAGCTAACAACAAACGTTCCCACAACTTTAGAGAACGTTCCCTTAAGAGTCTTATTAGGTCATTAACTACCGTTTTCATAGGAATATTGCTGTGATGTGCAAGGAATGTTTCCAAGAGACCATTCCCTTAATGTCAAATAGAACTTACCCAGAACATTGGTTACAATGTTCTCAGAATTTAAGATGTTAATGTTCTAGACACTTTTCATGAGAACATTGCAAGAAGGGAAAAGGAAAGAGGGATACCTAGTCAGTTGCACAACTGAATGCATTCAACCGAAAAGTGTCTTCCGCATTTAACCCCAAACCCTTTGAATCATTAATGTGTCTAGTTCTCTGTGGGTTAGGAGAAAATTCCATCAGCATCACACTAAACATATACAGAACATGGTTGTCATGTTCTCAGAATATGAGATATTAACATTCTAGACACGTTTCATGGGAACGTTGCAGGAACATTTCTGTGTATCTGTTATCAGGACGTTGCCTGATGGTCCCAAAGAAAAAATATTTTCATTAAACATAACGCCTTGATACTGTTGCCAAATCCCAATCAAGACCATCATCGGTGAACCACTAATAGCTCTTTGTCTGTTGGCAAGGTTAGGGATACTCACACACACTTCATTTAAATTGCATATTTGACACACTGATATCACTGAATACATTGTGCATGTATACAGACATACCTTCTCAATATATCCTCCCCTGGGATTTGAACTCACAACCTCTTGGTTCATGGTACGCTGATCTTCCCACTACACCACCATGTCGATGTCAGGTTTCAGTTTATCTGAATATTCTGATTGTTGATTTGAGTGACTTATTTCAGCAGTTTAGGGGCATGTGTTCGTCATTGGTGCTAGTAGCCTGGGTTCATGACCCACTAGGGAACTCACTCTACTCTCACATTCTTAGCAATATACTGTATGTTATTGTAATTATTTGTCAACAGTTACAACACACCCATCTGATCTAAATAAAATGAGTTTGTCAATGACACATGTTTGTTCTACATGGTATATGCGGTGTAGATTTAAAAAAGACGATAGTTCTCTTTGCGATGTTCAGCTACAGTGCCTTCAGAAAGTATTCACACCCCTTGACTTTTTCCACATTTAGTTGAGTTACAGCCTGAATTTAAAATGGATTAAATTGAGATTTTGTGTCAATGGCCTACATACAATACCACATAATGTCAAAGTGGAATTATGTTTTTAGAAAGTTTGACAAATTAATTAAAAATGAACAGCTGAACTCTGTGTGCAATAATAGTGTTTAATATGATTTTTGAATGACTACCTCATCTCTATACCCCACACATACAATTATCTGTAAGGTCCCTCAGACAAGCAGTGAATTTCAAACACATATTCAACCACAAAGACCAGGGAGGTTTACCAATGCCTTGCAAAGAAGGGCACCTATTGGTAAAATATTCAATATATTTTTGAGCATGGAGAAGTTATTAATTACACTTTGGATGATGTATCAATACACCCTGTCACTACAAAGTTACAAGCGTCCTTCCTAACTCAGTTGCCGAAGAGGAAGGAAACCGCTCAGGGAGTTTCCCATGAGGCCAATTGTGACTTTAAAACAGTTACAGTGTTTAATGGCTGTGATAGGAGAAAACTGAGGATGGATCAACAACATTGTAGTTACTCTACAATACTAAGCTAAATGACAGAGTGAAAAGAAGGAAGCCTGTGCAGAATACAAATATTCCAAAACATGCATCCTGTTTGCAATTAGGCACTAAAGTAAAATTGCAAAAAATGTGGCAAAGAAATTAACTTTATGTCCTGAATACAAAGCATTATGTTTGGGGCAAATCCAACACAAAACATTACTGAGTACCACTCTTCATATTTTAAAGCATGGTGGTGGCTGCATCATGTTATGGGTATGCTTGTCATCGGCAAGGACTAAGGAGTTTATTTTAGATAAAAATACATTAAATAGAGCTAAGCACAGGCAAAATCCTATAGGAAAACCTAAGTCAAGGGGTATGAATACTTTCTGAAGGTATTAATGAATACTGATCATTTATGTTGTGTCTAGAACATTAATATCTTCTATTCTAAAAAACATGGCAACCATGTTCTGTGTATGTTTGATGGGACGTTGATGGAATATTCTCCTAAACCTCAGAAAACTGGACATATGAATTTTCTTGCAACATCCCATGAAACGTGTCTGGAACATTAATATTGTATATTCTGAGAACATGGTAACCACATTCTGGGTATGTTCTGTTTGACATTAAGGGAATGTTATCCTAACTAATGCCAAAACATGCTAAAAAGGTTCTCAGGTTTTCTGGACAGAACAAAGGCTGTGCCACAGGGATCAATTCTTGGTCCGGTTCTTTTCACTATTTACATTAACAATATTGGTTTATCTGTATATAAAAAGAAATGTGGTGTGTGCTATGGCCCCCATAACTGACCAGTTTCTGTCAGAACTTCTGTAGTTTGATCTCTGAGATCTCCTTCTGATAGGATTCGATGGCAGAAGCGCACTGCTCCTAAATCTATTTTAGCTGTTGTGAATCAAATGTGCCTTTTATCTCGTTCTGTAGTTCGGTGATCTCACTGCGTGTATTGGACAGTTCCTCATTCACATGTTCTATCACCATTGTTTAAAAAAAATCATCTTCCAAAGACAAAGCAAATGTCACCCCAACAGGGTCACCCCCAAGACTGACCTGGCAATAGCGTAGCCTGAGTCCTGTGAGAACGGAGTGTAGTGTTCCTCCTACCTGGGAGGAAACAGAGGAGCCTGGGATATTGAGTACAATCATTTTTCATGTCTCCATAAAACACCTCTAAGCTTCAATATTAATCACAAGTTTTTTCCCTACACTCACAGAAAATCAAACCACATAGACATGAAGCCATGTCTTACCTTTGATATCTAGCTGAGCTAAAACAACTAGGCTCATAATTGAACAGTTTTATTCGTATTTACAGATGACATACAAGTTTGTTATTAAGGCACGTGAAGGTTCACATGTTCCAGAAGGCATTTCTGCCCAAAAAACACATTTTGATAAAAATACAAAAGTTTACGTTCGAATGGCTCTCATGTGAAGTAGTGACGTGCGACATATGCCTAGTTTCCTGAAACCAATCACATTTATACACATTCATCATTGCTACCAACACACAAACAGAGAGTGAGTTAGCTATATCGACAATTACATTTTAGTAACAGAGTGCTTTCCAGACCAGGGTGGAATAGATGGCTACCAGATTGAGCTACTCTTATTTGCTAATGTTAGCTAACTTATGTTAGCTAATGTTAGTCAAAAATGGAATGAACAAACAAACATATTTACTCTGCTGAAGGTACCAGTCTAGCAGTGACTACCATGGCATAGGCGAAATTGATTTACAATGTGTATCCAAAAGATAGCTAGCTAGCTATTTGATTTAGCTGATGGCTTTCATAGTTCAATACAGGACTGTAATGTTAGCTAGCTAGCTAACTTACCTAGTCCAGCTAGGCTAGCTAATGTTATCTTATCTCTAATGAAGAATCTTCTGTTTTGTTGTGAAGGAAAAAAACGATGGTACCGCATCACTTCTCAGCTGTCGTCGAAATGAATTCCCCATCAGTTCAGCCCGAAAATCCCTCTAATCTTAGGTCACCGTAAGCATCATTCTTGATAGCCGCAAGCCACTGATGGCATTGGGGTAAATCTCTGGTAGGTAGAATGGTGAAACATAACTCATTTTCACACTTGTTTGTAATTAGCACCGCCAGACACAGAACACCACATGGGCATGATGACAAACGTTAGTGAAAAACAAACGTTTTCAAACAAATCTTGCTTAGAGAAGTTCTGAGATTACATTTTACATTACATTTTAGTCATTTAGCAGACGCTCTTATCCAGAGCAACTTACAGGAGCAATTAGGGTTAAGTGCCTTGCTCAAGGGCACATTTACGTCATTTAGCAGACGCTCTTATCCAGAGCGACTCACCAATTGGTGCGTTCACCCTATAGCCAGTGGGATAATCACTTTACAATTTATTTATTTATTTATTAATTTTTTTTTGGGGGGGGGGTAGAAGGATTACTTTATCCTATCCCAGGTATTCCTTAAAGAGGTGGGGTTTCAAATGTCTCCGGAAGGTGGTGAGTGACTCCGCTGTCCTGGCGTCGTGAGGGAGCTTGTTCCACCATTGGGGTGCCAGAGCAGCGAACAGTTTTGACTGGGCTGAGCGGGAACTATGCTTCCGCAGAGGAAGGGGAGCCAGCAGGCCAGAGGTGGATGAACGCAATGCCCTCGTTTGGGTGTAGGGACTGATCAGAGCCCGAAGGTACAGAGGTGCCGTTCCCCTCACTGCTCCATAGGCAAGCACCATGGTCTTGTAGCGGATGCGAGCTTCAACTGGAAGCCAGTGGAGTGTGCGGAGGAGGGGGGTGACGTGAGAGAACTTGGGAAGGTTGAACACCAGACGGGCTGCGGCATTCTGGATGAGTTGTAGGGGTTTAATGGCACAGGCAGGGAGGCCAGCCAACAGCGAGTTGCAGTAGTCCAGACGGGAGATGACAAGTGCCTGGATTAGGACCTGTGCCGCTTCCTGTGTAAGGCAGGGTCGTACTCTCCGAATGTTGTAGAGCATGAACCTGCAGGAGCGGGGCACCGCCTTGATGTTGGCGGAGAACGACAGGGTGTTGTCCAGGGTCACGCCTAGGCTCTTCGCACTCTGGGAGGAGGACACAGCGGAGTTGTCAACCGTGATGGCGAGATCATGGAACGGGCAGTCCTTCCCCGGGAGGAAGAGCAGCTCCGTTTTGCCAGGGTTCAGCTTGAGGTGGTGATCCGTCATCCATACTGATATGTCTGCCAGACATGCAGAGATGCGATTCGCCACCTGGTTATCAGAAGGGGGAAAGGAGAAGATTAGTTGTGTATCGTCAGCGTAGCAATGATAGGAGAGGCCATGTGAGGATATGACAGAGCCAAGTGACTTGGTGTATAGGGAGAAAAGGAGAGGGCCTAGAACTGAGCCCTGGGGGACACCAGTGGTGAGAGCACGTGGTGCGGAGACAGCTTCTCGCCACGCCACTTGGTAGGAGCGACCGGTCAGGTAGGACGCAATCCAGGAGTGAGCCGCGCCGGAGATGCCCAGCTCGGAGAGGGTGGAGAGGAGGATCTGATGGTTCACAGTATCAAAGGCAGCAGACAGGTCTAGAAGGACAAGAGCAGAGGAGAGAGAGTTAGCTTTAGCAGTGCGGAGAGCCTCCGTGACACAGAGAAGAGCAGTCTCAGTTGAATGACCAGTCCTGAAACCTGACTGGTTTGGATCAAGAAGGTCATTCTGAGAGAGATAGCAAGAGAGTTGGCTAAAGACGGCACGCTCAATAGTTTTGGAAAGAAAAGAAAGAAGGGATACTGGTCTGTAGTTGTTGACATCAGTGGGATCGAGTGTTGGTTTTTTGAGAAGGGGAGCAACTCTCGCTCTCTTGAAGACGGAAGGGACATGGCCAGCGGTCAAGGATGAGTTGATCAGCGAGGTGAGGTAGGGGAGAAGGTCACCGGAGATGGTCTGGAGAAGAGAGGAGGGGATGGGGTCAAGCGGGCAGGTTGTTGGGCGGCCTGCAGTCACAAGTCGCAGGATTTTATCTGGAGAGAGAGGGGAGAAAGAAGTCAAAGCATAGGGTAGGGCAGTGTGAGTAGGACCAGCAGTGTCATTAGACTTAACAAACGAGGATCGAATGTCGTCAACCTTCTTTTCAAAGTGGTTGACGAAGTCATCCACAGAGAGAGAGGAGGGGGGGGGGTGGGGGGGGGAGGATTCAGGAGGGAGGAAAATGTGGCAAAGAGCTTCCTAGGGTTAGAGGCAGATGCTTGGAATTTAGAGTGGTAGAAAGTGGCCTTAGCAGCAGAAACAGATGAAGAAAATGTAGAGAGGAGGGAGTGAAAAGATGCCAGGTCGGCAGGGAGTTTAGTTTTCTTCCATTTCCGCTCCGCTGCCCGGAGCTCTGTTCTGTGAGCTCGCAATGAGTCATCAAGCCACGGAGCTGGAGGGGAGGACCGAGCCGGCCGGGAGGATAGGGGACACAGAGAGTCAAAGGATGCAGAGAGGGAGGAGAGGAGGGTTGAGGAAGCAGAATCAGGAGATTGGAGGGAGAAGGATTGAGCAGAGGGAAGAGATGATAGGATGGAAGAGGAGAGAGTAGTGGGAGAGAGAGAGCGAAGGTTGCGGCGGCGCATTACCATCTGTGTAGGGGCAGAGTGAGTAGTGTGGGAGGAGAGCGAGAGAGAAAAGGAAACAAAGTAGTGGTCGGAGACATGGAGGGGAGTTGCAGTGAGATTAGTAGAAGAGCAGCATCTAGTAAAGATGAGGTCAAGCGTATTGCCTGCCTTGTGAGTAGGGGGGGACGGTGAGAGGGTGAGGTCAAAAGAGGAGAGAAGTGGAAAGAAGGAGGCAGAGAGAAATGAGTCAAATGTGGACATAGGGAGGTTGAAATCCCCCAAAACTGTGAGGGGTGAGCCATCCTCAGGAAAGGAACTTATCAAGGTGTCAAGCTCATTGATGAACTCTCCAAGGGAACCTGGAGGGCGATAGATGACAAGGATATTAAGCTTAAATGGGCTAGTGACTGTGACAGCATGGAATTCAAATGAGGAGATAGACAGATGGGTTAGGGGAAAAGTTGAGAATGTCCACTTGGGAGAGATGAGGATTCCTGTGCCACCACCCCTCTGACCAGATGCTCTCGGGGTATGCGAGAACACATGGTCAGACGAGGAGAGAGCAGTAGGAGTAGCAGTGTTTTCAGTGGTAATCCATGTTTCCGTCAGCGCCAGGAAGTCGAGGGACTGGAGATTAGCATAGGCTGGGATGAAGTCAGCTTTGTTGGCAGCAGAACGGCAGTTCCAGAGGCTGCCTGAGACCTGGAACTCCAGGTGTGGGGTGCGTGCAGGGACCACCAGGTTAGAGAGGCAGCAGCCACGTGGTGTGGGGCGTTTGTGTAGCCTGTGCAGAGAGGAGAGAACAGGGATAGGCAGAGGCATAGTTGACAGGCTGTAGCAAATGGCTACAATAATGCAGAGGAGATCGGAATGAAATGAACTAAACATCACATCTGGGAGAGTAGAGAGCAGGGCCTCCCTCACCAAAAACGTCTACTTCTAACAACTATAATTGTTTCACTGAACCACCCGAACAAAAACTCTACCAACTTCCACCTCTAGAAATCAGAATTGTTGTGAACCACAGCGGTTCAGTGTTTAAAGGAATAGACTCAACCCACTTTATTCAGCTAGCTAACTATGACACCATAGCTAACTAGCATGCTAGCATCCAAAAACACACAGTTTAGCACCAACACCTGCATCCAAAAACACACAGTTTAGCGCCAACACTTGGTCACAACAAACCACCAATAGTGTGTTAACACACTAAGCAGATAATTCGTGTCCGTGTCTGTTGGCTAGCTAGCAATGGCCACTGTGTTGACCTTGTTTGAAGAACGGCTAGCTAGCTAGCTTCGTGCTACCCCCGGCACCGCCGAACAACAATGCCAACCCACAGTAACTAACCACAACAGCCCACGATGCCTAGCTATGACGCCGTAGCTAACTAGCATGCTAGCATCCAATAACACACAGTTTAGCACCAATACTTGGTTACAACAAACCACCAAGAGTGTGTTAACACACTAAACAGATAATTCATGTCGGTGTCTAGTTTCTTTCGTAACGCAGCAAAAATTAAACGTTGGTTAGCTAGCACATTAACATTGGAAACAACTCTCCACCATTGCACTAAACAGATAATTACCAATAAACGTACCAGTAGCTACCCGCAAGCTAGCTAGCATACCAAGAGTGTGTTAACACACAAAACAGATAATTCATGTCCGTGTCAAGTTCCTTTCATAACGCAGCAAAAAAAATTAAACGTTGGCTAGCTAGCACATTAGCTAGCACATTAACATTGGAAACCACTCTCCACCATTGCACTAAACAGATAATAACCAATAAACGTTACCAGTAGCTACCCGCTAGCTAGCTAGCCTCGTGCTTCGCCGGGCTCCGCCGTAACAATATTTAAACAATACGTAAACAATACTTACCTACAATAATTGCCTACGGAAACCTACAATAACTACCTAAATAAACTACCTACCTACGATCTAAATACATGGTTTAAGCTTTACTCAACACCATATGAGAAGCCAAGCTTACCTCCTGCTAGAGAAAAACACAACCTCAACCTCTTCATCCCTGCAGATCAGAATCAAACCAAACGTACAGGGTTTTGTTTGGTTGTGGTGATATTAGAACTTGTGCTACCAGTTTTGTACTAATGCCTAAATTAGCAAACTATTCTACTTCTATTGTAATGCATGTGATACATCCTAGAAAACTAAATACATAGAGTGTCTGATAAACTTGAAGTGCTTTAACCACCAGCCAGTTCAGCAGCTGAAACAGAAACAACAATCCCTCATGATGTAATAGCTTGCGGCAGGTCTGCCAGTCTCACCGGCGAGGTGACCCCGGTTGTAGCCAGTGATAACCACAATCCAGTCCCTCTGGATGGCGATGGTCAGCGCCGTGCTTGCTAGGTTGCTAGGTTAGCCACATCTGCCAGGACGATCACCACCGTATAACAAACCACCTTGTGTAAGTTTTGTGATGCAACAATTACTGTGTGTTGGTCGTCCGAAGTAAACAACGCCATTATGCAAGTTTGTGGGAATGCCCCATTTACCTAGCGTGGCATTATCTGCATTCACTATGAATGCTGGACTTTGTGGTTCACTATGAGCAGCCGAATACACAGGAAGTCGAAACGTCCCGATTCTACCAGTGAAATTAAAATGTGCTCGTTCTAGCTTGTGGTTTCGCTAATTTTGATGTTTATGACCAAAAACATAATGTTGTTAATATAGTAATGACTATATGTTGTGGCAGAGGCAGGGTGAAATTCCCTTTTAATCTTTGGTACTTCATTCAGCTGACTAATGTTAGCTTGCTAGCTTGTAAATCATTTTAATGTACAGCAAACATTTGATGTTCAGACACTACACTGTTAGACATACTGTGTAAATTTGTCCCTTACCTCGCTTCTTTTAAAGTCCTTCATAGTATACTTTGTTGAAAGTCTTGTTGAAGTCATCTCATTGAAATCACAGCTATTGAGGACAGGCTTTAGTTACGGCTGTTCTAGGCCCTCTCCTCTTCTCTCTATACACCAAGTCACTTGGCTCCATCATATCCTCACATGGTCTCTCTTATCATTGCTATGTGGATGACACTCAACTACTTTTCTCCTTCCCCCCTTCTGATACCCAGGTGGCGACATGCATTTCTGCATGCCTGGAAGATATCTCAGTTTTGATGTCGGACCGCCACCTCAAGCTCAACCTCGACAAGATGGAGCTGCTCTTCCTCCCGGGGAAGGCCTGCCCGCTCAAAGACCTTTCCATCATGGTTGACCACTCCACAGTGTCGCCCTCACAGAGTGCAAAGAACCTTGGCGTGACCCTGGACAACACCCTGTCGTTCTCTGCAAACATCAAAGCAGTGACTCTCTCTTGCAGGTTCATGCTCTACAACATCCATTATGCACGACCCTACCTCACACAGGAAGCGGCGCAGGTTCTAATCCAGGCACTTGTCATCTCCTGCATGGACTACTACAACTCACTGTTGGCTGGGCTCCCCGCTTGTGCCATCAAACCCCAGCAACTTATTCAGAATGCTGCAGCCCACCTGGTTTTCATCCTTCCCGAATTCTCCCATGTCACCCCGCTCTTCCACACACTCAACTGGCTTCCAGTCGAAGCTCGCATCCACTAGAAGACCATGGGGATTGCCTATGGAGCAGCAAGAGGAACTACCCCTCCCTACCTTCAGGCTATGCTCAAACCATGCACCCCAACACGAGCACTCCATTCTGCCACCTCTGGTCTCTTGGCCCTCCCACCGTTACGGGAAGGCAGCTCCTGCTCAGCCCAGCCAGTCCAAGCTCTTCTCTTTCCTGGCACCCCAATGGTGGAACCAGCTTCCCCCTGAAGCCAGGACAGCAGAGTCACTACCTCTTCAAAGAGTATCTTAAATAATCCCCCTCCTCACCTCGACCCCCCCAACACTTTCACTTGATAACTACACTACCAGTCAAAAGTTTGGACACACCTACTCATTCAAGGGTTTTTCTTCATTTAATTTTTTTTTTACATTGTAGAATAATAGTGAAGATATCAAAACTATGAAATAACACATATGGAAGAGCGTCTGCTAAATGACTAAAATGTGAAATGTAAAATGAGTAGATCTCTCTATTCCCGCCTCAACATGAGTTGTACTAGTTAGTTGGTTGAAGGTGTACTGACATAACACTATGATGTCTCCTCTTTCCAAGTGCGAGTGTCACGCAGTTTACACACCAGAAAAATGTCAGATTACGTTAATGCACAATAATCAGTGTGCACGATCCCAGAAATCCTTGTTAATGCGTAATTGGGAGTGTCCGATCCCGGAAATACTTGTGTCAGTGCGTGGTCAGGAGTGTGCAGCAATCGGAACACAAATTTGAGAAATTACAGCTCACCTCCCATTCAAATTTCCCTGAATATGTACAGGTTGGAAAATACCCAGAAACACCTTTTTTTCATGCAGTGTGTAGGTACATTTGATTAGTAATAATGTGATTACAGTGTATGTTTTCTCAAACGATGCATACTCATAGTGCGGGACAGCCAGTTAATCAGCTTCTGATAGATGTACTGTATGTTGCTAGCCTGATCCAAGTTCTGTTCGTGCTGTCTGCACTTGTGACAATGATTGACAAGGAGTGACATTACCAAAACATCTGCGATAAGTCTAATATGTTGCTGGGGAGATAAGTGAAGATTCAACAGGCTATAACACTTTCCCATCCCATGTCCATTCTCAAATAATCTTTGACCTTTTAAAACAGTCCTCATTGTTATTATGGCTTATCCATGAACATTCTGAGGTACAGTTCAGGCCTGTCAGGAGGCCAGCTTACCATGGAAAGCACAAGGGATTCTACCTTGTTTTAGTTATTTATCTACCAACGTCCTCTAACAGGGGACGTTTACACACACACACACACACACACACACACACACACACACAGTAGATTAGAGAGTAGAGATGACAGGAAAGATATGAAGAGATCGAGGCAAAGGGCAGTGTGACAAATCTGGCATATGTGTGCCAGGGCCAGAACATGTCAGAATTTTTAGCTGAACAGGGTTAAGGTCAAGGTGCTGTGTGTACATTACTTTGGGAAAATATGGTGGCCTGATTTTTTTGCATTTGTGGAAGCTGTAAACCCTTGTCCATGCATGCATGCACAAAAGATTACCCATGATGGTCAGACAGCTTTCACACTCAGACTCAGCCTAGTGTATCCAACACACACACATGCACATGGGCGCGCGCACACACACACACACACACAAAAACAGCTGTGACCTTCTGAGGGATCCCGCAGGAATCTGTCCTACTGCTTCTGATGGAGATACCAGGTAAGATTAAACCGCTAGTAAACTGTGTCAGGTTATACTGTTTATCATCTGTCAACACACAGACACGCGCACACACACACACACACACTCAGTATATCATTCAAATTAAGTGATATATCTATTGCAGCTATGCAGACAGTTTACACACCATCTCAGGCTATGAATGCTTCCAGAATACCATACTGTTTATATGGAGATCTATAAATTGCTCTAACTAACTATAGCCTAAACAGCCCCAGACAGACCAGCCCCTTGAGGGCCACAATGTCTCCTGCTGCTGGTGCCTCTTGTCTTCACATATTTGCTGTGGCCTAGGGTGGTCTAGCAGTCTAAGCCACTGTCTCTGGAATGCTGCAGCATTGGTTCCAAACCAGCCTACTGCTATTTCAGCAACTCTTGCCCCTATCTTTCCTCTTTAGCTATCCTATCCAATAAACAGAAAATACAAGAGGTGTGGGATTGCCCCACTCCTTTAAAAAACAAACAGAATTGCTATCTCAGAACTGGACAACAAGGTTATAGGAATCTCTCCAATTAGTGTTTTATAATGACCTGTATCATTTACAGTAAGTTCTCTAGAGAAATGTAACCCATCTGACATTACAGCCCTTTAGGACTTAAATTAAAAAGGATTTAGAAGAAATACACTTAAAAACATAAGACGTATCATTCAATAAAAATTAAAGGCTCTATTAACTCTGTAAAGCTGAAGCGTTATAGATTCCTCAATAGAAATGCAAAGGTAATTTCCAATTGAGCCGACATATGCAGCATTTACAGTGAATGCAGACCGCTAAAGCGGAAACCTTGCCTTTAAATTTCAATCACGCTGTAAAGCTGAACTTCTGCAATTTGGATTGAATAGAGCCCGAAGAGTTTTATCCCATTTGTTTACAGAACATGTCATGGGGTTGTTAAATGACAGACATGTATTTGTTTGAAACCTATCACAAATGGTTTAATTTCAGAGAGACGAACAATCATGTTTTGTTGCAAAACGCTATATATCCACCTCACTCTCAAAGAAATAAGTAGCAATGCAAGGTTTTAAACAGTCAAATGTGACTATGCAAATTAATCATTTGTGACATCAATATAAAAAAATATATATCTTAAAAAATGCAACAATACAGTAATATATAATAATAAATAATAAATAATATGATATGATATCTGTATGCAAAATACAACATTTTAGGGTTTTCTATAAACAGTAGTTGTCTAATTTTGGTGGGGCATATTCCTCTGTTACTCCTTAATCACTATGATAAATAAAATAGTTTTTCTTGAGTGTACTTTTAACAGAGCTGAGATTTACTTCAAAGTGCAAAGTGTAGCCATACGGTAACAGGAATCTCGGAATGCTATGAACCAAGAGGTTGTGAGTTCAAATCCCAGGAGAGTACATGTTGAATAATAATTACTGTATAAATGAACATGCACAATGGAATTATGTGTGTCAAATACTGTATGTCAGTTGAAAGCACTGTGTGTGGGTGTTCCTAACCTTGCCAACAGACAAAGAGCTGTGAATGGATTACTGGGTCACCAATCAGGGCTTTGATGGGCTTGGGACAGTAATAGGGTGTAATTATACACTTTTCTTTTCTTTGGGACCATCAGGCGACGTCCTAAAAACATCATCTAGGAATGTCTCCGGAACAAGCCGGGAACTAGACAAAAACTTCCAGGGGACCATGACAGGATGTCCTATGCTTTAAACGTCCATAGACACTAATGTTTTTTGCAACGTTCCAATGAAACATGTCTAGAACATGAATATCTTATATTCTGAGAACATGGCAACCATGTTCTGTGTATGTTTAATGTGACATTAATGGAATAGTTTCCCAACCCACAGAAAACTAGACACATGAATGTTCATGCAAAGTTCCTATGAAATGTGTCTATAACATCTTAAGTTCTGAGAACATGGTAAGATCGTTCTGGATAAGTTCTATTTGACATTAAGGGAATTGTCTCTTGGAAACATTCCTTGCACATCACGGGAACATTCCTATGAAAACGTTAGTTAATTACCTAATGAGACTCTTGAGGGAACGTTCTCTACACAGGCAGACCAATTCAAAAAGTTGTTTCCACTAATTGGTCTTTTGACCAATCACATCTGATCTTATCACGTCAGATCTTTTTTAGAGCTGATCTGATTTGTCAAAAAAGATCCGGATTAGGCTTCCTGTGTGAATGCAGCCAGAGAGAGCGAGAGTGAGAGAGAGGGTTGATAAAGGCTAGTGTTATGAAAACAGCGAGCGAGAAAGAGAGTGATAGAGAGTGAGAGACATGAAGAGTGAGAGAGAAGGAGGGGTTATAGAGTAGAGGTAAAGGGAGAATGTATGGATCGTTCCACCAGTGAGGTGCCTTTTCAGAAGTGTAACTTTGATTTCACCTAATTTTAACATTCTGTCATAAAGAGCATACGTAATCCCTGAAGCCCAAGGCAAAACAAATAAAAAAGGAGACTTATCTTGTCCGACTTAGTATCTCATTTGAACTATTAAGTCATTCAAAAGAGAAAATCATTTGAACAAGATACTAAGTCGTTTGAACAACTTACTTGTTATTTTGT